CGGTGTGAGGTCTCGCAGCAAGCTATCAAATACGGCGCATTTTTCGGCTTTTAAAAAAAGCGTCGCCAGGTGTTTCATCGGATTTGAGGTGTTACCTCCTTTGACGGTATCACAGTATCACCTTAAAGCACTTGTTGCAGGCTGCTGAGTTTGCATATTTTGCTGTGAAGTACAGCCAGACTTTTGACCGCTTCGCCTTGGGCATTGTTAATCTGTAGCTCTGCTCTAAAAGAACGTACGTAGCTGGACCCGCCTACTGTCCTCGGAAACGCAAAATGATTGACTAGAATTCAAAGTGTATGACATCTCAGAAAAAAAAAAGCACTGAAATAAAGCACCGAAATGTGCGCTGGTTTTTGGTCTGGTTACTACTGTTTATGTCAGAACCATACCAGTATCCATCCCTAGTCTGGATGATTCTTTTCTTCTTTGGTTTGGAGCACAGGGCGTCCATTTCTCCCAACAAATACCTGAAACACTGATTCGTGTGACCACAGTGCACGTTTCCACTGTGTGATGGTCCGTCCCAGATGCCCCAAGCCCAGAGAAGTCGACGGCGCTTCTGGACAGTGTCGAGTAGCACCATACGTAGTTACATCCACAAATGCTAGTTAAAACTGTACTTAGTTTCCTCTTCAGTTCATTTGTTGCCTTTTGTTTTCTATGTCAATTCTCAGCCTGCAATATATGGCTCACCTTCAGTTTAAATCATTCACGCCCCCTGTGGGTCCACACCACGCACTGGCCATCAGGCCCCCGAAACTGGTTTGTTTCTGCCACTGGTCGCTCAGCCAGCCTTCTGGACTGTGTTTGGTCATGGACTCTCTGGTGTTAGACTCTAGTGTTTCAATTGTGTTTTCCTTTTGGTGTGTCTCACAGGTTTTGCCACCTTTAGCAGTGAGAACGGCAATAATTCACCTGCAATGACTGCCAACGACTCATATTGCTGTGGATTTGGAGTTAACTGAGTGTCAGTTCTTGAGTTTCAAGTCTTGGGGACCATTAAGATGTTTTTTGGCAAATGAGTTTTCTGCTTAATTCATAACTTCTGTTTATCAAAAAGGAGAATCTTCCAACAATTAAAATTAAAATTACTTTGACATAAATCAAGTAAAAGAACAAAAAAATTTGGAGCAAGGTCTAAAAACTGCAGAATACAAGCGAGGTGTATTGTTGCTTAGTGACTGTGATTTTCAGTAACATTGCTCCTGGCATTGTGTCTTTTATGCTGGAACGTTGATCATCAGGAAGAATGGACTGAAAACCATATAAAGGCATTTAAACATGCTTTCCTTGGAACTGGACTTTGTGTCTTTTCCTCCTTCAACTAAATATAACCTGAAGGAATGCAGTTTTTCTTTCTTTGATGAATAAAATCTCTATGAAAACCTTCAGCATAATTCAAAGGTTCAAGTATGTGGTGCATTTTTAGCTGTTTGGCTACGGTTGTTTAATAGTTCTCTACTGTGGGGGTAAAATGATGAAAACTCTAAATGAAACTGAAAATATTAACATGGACTCTGAAATAAATGTACTGAAAATGTTTTTATTGAAAGTGAAACAAAAATAGACAGTGAAAAAAGATTAATTGAAACTCTAAATATTGACATT